CTATTGTTGCCAATTTGAAATGAAGATATCAAAGTCAAATTACCACATTTTGACTTGATACATAAAAATATGAGAGGGGCTAATATAGAATACAAAATGTGAAGTACATTAGGAATTAACATAAAACATAAAAAGGTAAGAGCCAGAGTTGTAACTCAATGGTAGAATGCATGCACAAGACCCTAGGTTCAGCCTCCAAACCACAAATAAATTACATAAACTATTTCATTGTAATAAACATATATATATATATATATACTTAGTTTTATTAACAACCACATTAATAATGGATATATACATACATAAATAAGTATACCATTATTATTGGCATCATAAACATATATCCGTAAGTACAGGGTAGAAGAAACATGACTTGTTAGCACCATCAAAGAAAAATTGGTATGAAATAGTAGAATGTGGTTGCTTTAAATGTGATACAGATTTTGATATTTTCATAGAATTTTGATATTCTGATGAGAGGGGTCTGCTGTGCTACTTTTCTATAGTCATACCTGACTACATATGATTTCATTTACAAACACCTCAGGGTCCCCATACTAGACCATGTCCTCTAGAGTAGGGAAGGGGAGGTTCATAAGAGGCGAATGAGAGAAGTTGCCACCATGTCTCATAGGAAGAGCTTGGATTATTTATTATTAAGGAAACTCAGAGGACTCTGATAGTTATGATGGAAACTTGAGCAGTACTGGATGTAATTCCTGGTGCTGAGAGAAGGGGATATGTATGGAAGAGCCAGAGCTGCATTAGATCTTCCACTTTGAAAGCAGGCTATAATGAGCCATGCTATAGGAGACTTGTGAGCCACTGAGAACTGCTTTGTACTTTTCACAAAGTATCTGGTTATGATACTTTCTTCTAAAGCTGCATCCTGGCAGGCTCTATGCCCCACAGCTCAGATTTTACTCATAAAATCCCAAATCACATACACACTAGTGTCATGTGGGCCGAGGGAAGAATCAAAACCTAATGTCCTAACGAATTCCACTCAGGGCTATCCCATGCAGCCATCACTGGGTTTCTACACTCTCTAAGGCATTAGTTTTTAGGAAACTGATGAATTTCTAAATGGCATCAAAAAGGTTAAAAGTAATAAAATCCTGAGGGAAAGCTGTAAAGCAAGATCTCTTCCTCTATGGCAGTGAAATCTGTTGTTTCCAGCCACCAAACCAACCAACCAACCAACCAACCTACCAACCAAACCAAACCAAAACCGGAAACACAAAATCATCCCTGTTCTTAGATGCTGCATCTTGTTTTGTGCTTTTGATGTATTTGATTCTCTTCAAATCAGCATCTCAACTGTATGGCAATATTCTTTTAGTATATAACCTAATACTTTCTAGAGATAGCTGATAGAAATGTAAGAGTAGCCAGATAATACAGTGCCTGACACATGGTAAGCAATGAATAAGTTCCAGATGCTGTAGCATCTTTCTCCTCATTACCATCTCCATGGCATGTTAGTGTACGTGCTCACTTAATGTGCCTGTCTTTCTTAATCAAGCAGACATTTTATCTTCTTTGTGTTTTTGTCCCCGTTGTCTAAACAATCTCCAACATAAAGTTAGTGATTTGATTTTGAATAATTTGAGACTATCTTGGTTTAAAAATGACAGCACCAATTGTGTCAAGATCCAGCTATACCACTCCTGGGCATATATCCAAAAGATGTTCAACCATTCAACAAGGACATTTGCTCAGCTATGTTAATAGCAGCTTTATTCATAATAGCCAGAATCTGGAATCAACCTTGATGTCCCTCAGTTGAAGAATGGATAAAGAAACTGTGGTACATTTACACAATGGAATACTACTCAGCAATTAAAAACAAGGAAATCATGAAATTTGTAGGCAAATGGATGGAACTAGGAAAGATCATCCTGACAGAGGTAGCCCAGAAGCAGAAAGACACACATAGTATATACTCACTTATAAGTGGACATTAGCCATATAATATAGGATGAACATACTAAAATCTATAGTAAAGAAGCTAAGCAATAAAGAGGACCCTAGGCAAGAGGCTTAATCCTCGTTTAGAAGGGCAAATAGGATAGACATCAGAAGTAGGAGAAGACAGGGAACAGAACAGGAATCTTCCACAGGAGGCCTCTGAAAGATTCTACCCATTAGAGTGTTGAAGAAGATGCTGGGACTCATAGCTAAATTTTGGGCAGAGTGCAGGAAATCTTATGGAAGAAGGGGGAGATAGAAAGACCTAGAGGGGATAGGAGCTCTACAAGGAGCCCAACAGAGCCGAAAAAAATCTGGGCTCAGGGCATCCTGCAGAGACTGATGAATCAACCAAGGACCATGCATGGAGAGGACCTAGACCTTCTACTCAGATGTAGCCCATTGGCAGCTCAGTCTCCATGTGGGTTCCCTAGTAAGGGGAGAAGAGACAGTTTCTGACATGAACTTGGTTGCCTGCTCCTTGATCACCTACTTCTGGTGAGGTGGCCCAACCAGGACATAGAGAAAGAGGATCCAGCCAGTCCTGATAGGCTGGCGTCAGATAGTAGGAGAGCAATACCTTCTCTATTAGTGGACTAGGGGAGAAACACAGTGCCGTAAAGAGGGAAGAAGGGTGGGACTCAGAGGAGATGAGGGAGGGGGCTACAGCCGGGACACAAAGTAAATAAATTGTAATCAATAATAATAATAAAGAAAAAATTTTAAAAATATTTAAAGCCAAGAGAGAGAGAAAGAGAGAGAGAGAGAGAGAGAGAGATTCAGCTACAGTTGCCTCAAGAGTCTATCTGACCTAGAAGATCATAGTCAGAGCTCAGAGATCAGAAACTGAAGCTGGAGAGAGGCCTTTACTGTCTCTCAGCACACCTGCTTTACTTTGCAAGTATATGCTAAAATATTGTGGTTCAGGTTGGCTCAAAGTGGACATGACTAGAGGTGTGTCCCAAGAGGAGAGGTTTTAGAGACAATAGAATCAGAGCAATGTAGCTTTTATTCATATCAACACATTATGTTTAGTACATTTGGCATCTGTTTTTTCTCTCAACAGTAGCATTTAGTTAAAGGGTTATAAATGTAAAATATTAACAACAACCAGAGGTGATTTTTATACTTCTTTTATTTATTTTTAGACAGTTTCATTATATAGCCTTGGCTGGCCTGGAAGATCTGTCTTCTGCCTCTCAAGTGCTGGGATTAGACATATATCACTATGCCCAGCAAAGTGATTTATTTTCAAAAGAGGATATAGAACTGGAGAGAAGGCTCAGTGGTTTCTTAATTTGTTGCTTTTGAAGAAGACCTAAATTTAGTTCTATCTGCATGGTTCACAACTGCCTGTAACTTTAGTTCCAGGGGGACTGACACCCCCTTCTGACCTCTATGGGTACCAAGCACACACATAGTACATATACATACATATAGGCAAATATACACATAAAATTAAAAATATCTATTAAAAAGGAAAGAGAAAATAATGTTCATTATAAATGTAAAGAGCTACCAAATCAGGCAGCTTATTAAGGAAGTGCATTGTGGTCTTAACACCCACTTTCTAAATATTATCAGAAAAGGTATTTTCAATGCATGATAAGTTATGACTTCATTGGTAGAGAAATTATTTCTGACATACAGAAGATTTGAAAAATAAGAATTTTGATACTCCAATTGATTCTAAGGGTTGCTGTTCAACAAAGACTAAGTTCTGCCTTAGAAGTGTTTTGTTTATCCCTGCTGACAATAGAAAGCATAAAGATTACAGAGTACATGTCCAAGTCATTTTTCCATCTATTGTCCTTACATAAACGAGTATAGCATGCACCTGGTTAACTTAAAAATTGCATGTCTGGTGACCTAGTCATTCAGTAGTTGAGCCAGACACAGTGGTGCAGGCCTGTAATCCCAGCATTCAGGGGGGCTGAGGCAGGCAATCTCTGTGAGTTCGAGGCCAGCCTGGTCTACAAAGTGAGTCCAGAACAGCCAAGGCTACACAGAGAAACCCTATCTTGAAAACACAAAAATAAAAACATACAAAAAAATTCAGTAGCTGTTTAAATTTGTCAAGAGAGTCTTACCTCAAGCTTGTAATCCAGAATTTGAGATGTCTTGGCTTTAATATTTTTACATGTCTTAACTGTTCACCAAAGAAAATGCTTCAAGAATAATTTTCAAGTCCAACTCTCATCTTTACTTTTTTCAAATTCTGTTGCAAAAATATTATGTATGCATTTCCAACTAGCCTCTAGCATGTTTCTAACATTGTAAACCCAGTGCCAGACCAATTTTTGATGGTTTAGATACTTATTTTCTTGGAGTTGATGACTAACACACTGAGAAGTTATAAAATTTAGTTAATCTAGTGTGAGGTATAATGTGTGAGTCTAAAGTAATGAAAACAAAATGGAGTTACACGAATTAGGCTTGTGTCATTCATCAGTCCATGTTACTAAAAATTTATTATTCAATGAGCCATCTAAGATCTCTGCTTACAATTATTGTCAACACATGCAATCAATTTTCAGTAAACTGTAAATATAATTTTCTTGTTTAATATCCTGTTAATAAGGTATAGTTTGGCTTTCTTAAAATATCTATGAGTTGACAATATGACTATATGCCCAGAATTTAAAAATCTATTACCTGAACATATTTCATTTTTTAACAGTATATCTATGTGCTAATTAAGTAATCAGTATCATGTTAAAGTTCAGAAGGTGAAGTTTTTTGTATTAATAGACTCTGATTTTAGAGGCATCAAAACACCAAATATAAATGGCCATAGGACATAACGTACTTTTAAAAATCTTGCTACTAACTTTATTTAATTAAGAAAAATTCTGTCTTTTCTATTGGCATTAGTCAAGGAAAACAAACACACACACAAACCACATTTAATCTAGATATTTCTGAGTGAATACACATTCCTCACTAAATCTTGGGCAGCTGATTTAGTTACTGTTGCTAACACCGTTATGTCTCTTTGTATACATGTCTAATTTATTAGTTTCTTGTAGATTGTCAGCAGCCTGCTGCCTCCGTACCGCCACAGTGCTCACAACTAGCTGGGAGGCAAGACTACCCAACTGTCAGGTAAATTCACAGGCCCTTCCTTCTCCCACCAGCTGCATGTCAGCTCCCCTCCCAAGATCATAACCATCTATGCATCTTTATATGTTATTGCATGTTTTTTTTCATGAATTGGCTACATGAGTACACCCTTGTTACTTGAAGTTCATATTCCCTATGAGCATGCACAAGAGTTAGTACTATGTCATCAACCACTAGCTCGTAAAATAAAGGCTGCTTCATTTCACCCTCATGAACAAATACTTGGGTACTTGTGTTTCATTGCCTCTAATCTCTGTACTTGATAAGTTATTTGACCTACTTTTGTTTTATCTTTTTGTCCCTCAAGTATACTTATCAGGCCAACAAACAGGAAAAATATATGAAAACAGATATCTAATGCCGATTCTAGGACACCGTTATAAATATGGTTTCCATTTTATGTGTGCTCAGTCCCATTGTTATAAATGAATTGAAAAGATGTAGAAGGCCATTTGTAATAATACATACCTTTAATCCCAACATTCTGGAGGCTGTGGTAAGAGATTCGTTTGAGACTACCATGAGTTATATAGTGAGTTGAAGGACAGCAACTGAAGGACAGTGAGTTTGATACAGAATAACTGTCTCCAAAGCTATTTTTTTAAAAGGGAGGAAAAAGAAGAAAAATTCAAATCTGAATTCCAAATGGAAGAAGGGGGAGATAAAAAGATCTAGAGGGTACAGGAGCCCCACAAGAAGACCAACAACAACAACAAAAAAGATGGTCCCAGGGGGGACTTCAGAGACTGATGCATCAACCAAAGACCATGCATAGAGAGGATCTAGACCCCCTGCTCAGATGTAACCCATAGACAGCTTAGTCTCCATGTGGGTTCCCTAGTAAGGGGAGAAGAGACAGTTTCTGACATGAACTTGGTTGCCTGCTCCTTGATCACTTCTCCCTGGTGGGGCAACCTAGCCAGCCGCAGAGGTGGAGGATCCAGGCAGTTCTGATGGGACCTGATAGGCTAGGGTCAGATAGTAGGGGAGAAGGACTTCCTCTGTCAGTGGACTAGGGGAGGGATAGGGGAGGAAGAGGGAGGAAGAGTGGGACTGGGGGGAGATGAGGGAGGGGGGTGTGACTGGGATGCAAAGTAAATAAATTGTAAATAATAATAACAAAGAATATGTGCAGTGATTATTTTCTCTTTATCTGAAATGAAGTGTTTTAAAGCATGTTTAAAACTCCCTAGACTAGTTACTAAACTGGAGAGTTTGCTGACAAGTCATATTCCAGTTTAAAGCACTCCAAAACAGTTACTAGTTACTCCTGTCCTGAATGACTCCCCACAGCCTAGAAGCATCTGTAGTGCTGCTCATCTCCATAGTGTTTTTCATTGTTAATTATGTGGTTTCCGCTGGTACCAAGCATGAGCTTTGCTCATTAATATACATTAATGTGTCTCTTGTCCTCCTATCAAAGAAAAGCTTGTGTCAAGGAAAGACCAGCATAAACATAGTCCATATATGTGTCTGAGGTGAGTGGCTGTCAGCGGCAGGCTGTATGTGGCCATGCCTTAGCTGGGCAGCCACTAATACAGAGCAAATACATTCAAAGCAGGTGTGTGACATGATCTATTGCCTATGGAAGTATAACGCTGCCCCCAGTGTTGTAGGTTGAACCTATGCTCTCTCATAAGCTAGGCCAAGGGGTCTACTACTAAGCTGCATCCCCAGCCACCAAAGTACGTTGTTAATTAGTCAGTAGACAGTGTCTTCGTATTAATGGCTCTTAGAAGGCTGAACATAACACTTCCACCAAGAGGACATTTATCTCGAAAATGTTCTCTATTTTTTAAAAGAATTATTTATTTTCTTTTATGTGTGAATGTCTTGCTTGTATATAATGTACGTGCACGAGATGCATGCTTGGCACTTGGGGAGACTAGAAGAAGGTGTTGGATCTCCTGGAAGTAGAGTGCAGATGGTGGTTATGCACCATATGGGTACTGGGAGTTGAATCCAGGTCCTCTGCAAGAATAATATCTGCTTTCAATTACCGAACCATCTCTCCAGCTCCTCAGAAAAGTTCTTTACTAATGTATTGATGGCTTTTGTAACAGAAGCCAGTTCTGGATAATTTCAATTATATAAGTAACTGAATATTAGTATGAATGTTGAAGTTGATTTGAGAGGGGTTCTAGAGCATAGTGATTGGGAAACTGGGGTCCAAACCCACAGTTTAGACTCTACAAAGCAGCCTCCCTCTTTTGGGACACAGGAGTAGTGTCAACAGAGTACATATGTTCCATAAATGCTAACTACATCAGTGAGTGACTGAGCTCTAGAGTTGGACTTTTAGCTTGTAATCCTATCTCTTACATCTCTACATGTGTAATTTTGGAAAGCTGCCTCTGCTGGCTATGGTTGGTTTTTTTTTGTTTGTTTGTTTGTTTACTTATAAAGTAATGAGGAAAACAGACATTGGAAGAATTCAGTGATGAAGGGCCTGGCATGTTTGCCCTGTCTGCTGTTAGCACTAACACTTCTGTACACTACCATCCCTGACCAAAATCTTGTTTATTTTGTGACCACAGTTTGCTTGGGCAGAGTTGGAATACTACTGCTTTATGGATATCCATGCAAACATATTCTTTCTCTTCTGAGGTTACTGAATTTAGGTGCTTCCTGTCTCCTTGGCGGTGATTTACTTGAAAGAAAAGCAATTTAATAAACTACAGATACTCCTAGTTTCTATCTAAATAGATGTAGCATATCCAAAGAAGACTTCTCTTCCTCACAAGAAAAATGATTAACATGTAGAGATTTGAAAGTACTCCTCCTCAGGGTAGCTTGGATCCTGGCTGGCTTCTGCTGAAAGAGGATCTGAGTCAGTCCTGCCCTGCCCTCTTACTACTTCTGGGCAAGAAACACAATACACAACCAACAGAGCTCACTCTGGGTGCTAGGCAAGGGTAAGTTCCTTACCTGTGTTGGTCGTTTGTGATTCCTCGTAGACTGAGCAGCTATTCTAGTCTTCTAAGTGAGGGAATCTAGGCTTAGGCAGATGAAACAACTGTCAAAGGCCACATATTTGATCATAATTGAGCCAATTATCTAACCCCCATGCCCTGTCCACCATGGAGCATAGCTGCACCTCAGATAATGAAACAATCATTTTACCTACAGTTGTTTAAAGAATTTTTTTAAGTTATATTGACTCGGTTTCCTTCAATTCAGTGAAACATGAGAACATTATCTAGAAATCTTTCGTGATTTCAGATCAGGTGTTCACTGGGTTCACTCATTATGAAAAAAAAAGTTTACTTCCCTCCAGTTTATATGTATCTACTTACATAATTTTGAAACTTTTTTTTTTAGTGCTAGGAATCAAATTCAGGACTGTACACATGTGTCTACTCACATAACTTTTAAGGTGTATGATTTATTAATAAACAGTGTTCTTATATTTAAAATGTAGAGCCTTTCCACATATAGTTTTGTTGTTTTTTGAAACGTAGTCTCACTTATGTTGTTTAGGCTTATCATGAATTCCTTGAACGCTGGGGCTTCAAGTGATCTCCTGCCTCAGCCTTCCAAATAGCTTTAGTTGTAGGTATATACCACCATGCCCAACATCTGTATACTTAGTTTTTTGGAACTAATTAGAGTAACTAAAGTTCTTATTTGGAGTCTCATCCACATCTATACAAGTCATGTACAAGGCATGAAAATGGAAAATGCCACAAAATAATATTGAAATATAATGTAAGGGCACAGTATGTCATGTTTCAATAAATATAATCCAAATTTTTGGACTTTTTTCAGGTTGATTCTATTCTAAGTTATTGAAAATTTGTAGACATAATTATTTAATAGGAAATTATGTAGCCTTGGACATAATGTTTAAATATATAAAAATGTTTAATATTTATCATCTTTACATCTACTAGTTGTGTTTACCTGAAGAAGACAAAGGGGAAAAAAAGCTTTTTGAAGATATAACAAAATTCCTGAAGATATACCCAGCTTAATACCTGAAAAACCTTAATAATGAATTATTAAGATTTCTCTTTCAGTGAAAAGTTAACTTATTTGTGGTAAAGTTTGAATAATAAGTAGCCTTCTAAAGATATCAATCAAAATGAAAGCTGAATTTATGTTATTTTCTAAGTAATAATATGTCAAATGTTTATGTTAAAAATAATTCATTTACCTACCAGTCAAGAATATGTTTCTTTTAGGTTAGTGTGATATTACTGTATTTTATGCAAACTGAAAATATTGATACTGTGGTATAAAATATTTAACTTTATAAGAAAATTTAAATAATGAAAACAATTTTAAGTCATTTTGAATGATACATTAAGATGTTGGGTCATCTAAACTGTAACTCCTGCTTAGACTATTGCCATATTCTTCAGCTAGCCATGCAAAACACTCCAGGAAAAAGAGTACTGTATCATACAAGGTCTTTCTTGCATAACATAACTATCATAATACTGCTTGATAGAACTTGTGCTATATTGCTTGCCCAAACTATATGAAATCTTGGGTTCCATTCCAAGCATCACCAAAAAGAAAAAAAAGTAGGAAAAATACAACATTCATCAGTATAGAACAGCAGTTTCCTTTTAAGTTAAATTTACAATGGCTCAAAGAGCTCAAGAAGTAATGTTTAGCAAATAGTTACATAATTATGATTTTATAGTAATGTTCAACAGATGGATCTGGTTGATGATTTCAGTACCAAAACTTCAGAAGTATTTGTTAAATATAAAATTTTAATCTATTAATGATAGATTAATAACTTTTAAAACTATTTAAATTAATAAATAATAACTTTAAGTAGTATAGCAAAAACTCCCTACTGAAGTGAATTATATGATATTAAAATTCACAATATATGGGGAAGTAGATCATGTTTTCCAATTAAAAAAAAATCCCCATGCTGTCCTTTCCCTGTTTCTAGTCACATTTTAAAGACTAAAAACCCAAACATGTTTCATAGCTTTACCATAGGAGAGCTAATAGTTTTGCTACTGTATTCATCAAGATTTTTCATCAAGACATTGAATAGTCTGAGACCAGGTTCATTACAATTGGAGGCTCTCAGATGTTGATTAGAAAGCCACATCATTTACTTAACAAATGCAAAATGTCATAAAAGTTATCAGGTTCTTTGAGGAGCCATTAGACATTCAGAATCAAATGAATTATCTTCTTGAGTTGCTACTAGTAAACTCTAGACTCTTCTAAACTCCAAAGTCTTGGTCCTTTGGCCAGCACTATCTGAACCACAGCAAGCACATCACAAATGCAGACTCGAAGAGTTCTTTCCCGGCCCTGCTAAGTTAAAGTCTCCTTTACCAAGATCTTTCGGTGACTTGTACCCGTATTTAAGTTTAAAAAGGACTGACCTAAGGTCACTTTACTACCAACCTAGAGATCCAAGAGTTGGAGACTGCAAAACTGAACACTTGGCTTGGGGGACAAGCTCATGTATCAGTTCCCAAAGTTGTTTCCTTTCCCTTTCTTTCTTTCTTTCTTTCTTTCTTTCTTTCTTTCTTTCTTTCTTTCTTTCTTTCTCTCTCTCTCTCTCTCTCTCTCTTTCTTTCTTCCTCTCTCTCTCTCTCTCTCTCTTTCTTATGCCTTGCTTTAAAAGCTATATTTTTTCTTGGCATGCTTTGGATTTAAACTATTCTCTTCACAAAATTTCTGTTCATGTGTTTAAATATATAGGACAATAATTTGTCTATCACAGTGTACTTGGTTGTTTACTAGTATGTCTTTTAGCTAACTGCTTTCTCTCTCATTTTCAGTTCGGACATTGCCCTTCCTAAGGAGCAGCCACATTCCAGCTCACAGTGTGCTCCTCTCCATTGTCTCACCAAGCCTCCTTACCCCTAGTCTTCATCTCATGAATGAGTATCTGGGCTGAAGGTTTTTGTAGTGATGCTGAGGACACTGCCTAAGATCTAGCAGGTGTTTTCTTCTTGGCTAATAGATGTACAGTCCATCATTTTCAAAGAGGAGAGTTCAGAAGGATGAAATGATGCATAGACTGCGATGTGATCAAACAATTTATGATTTCTCTGAGTCACAGATAACCTGCAATCAAATGGCAACAGTTCATTTGAAACTGAAATGATACCTCCATAGGATAAAGATTCAAGACAATGTAAAATAGATATGTTGTAAAATCATCTTTCCCTATACTCCAAAGTCAACTATAGAAGTTGATTCCAATATTTTCCATTGGTATTTATTTTATATTTTATTTACTATATGTTTTATGCTTATAAAGATAATTTCTGTAAGCAGAATTCATTTATTTTTAAATAGTCATAGTTTGCTCAGTTAAGTAAAGTTTTAATTTAGTTTAAAATCTGAAACTGGCCAGATTATGGCCCTTCTTTTTGCAGAAAATTACAAATGAGGTGCATCAGAATGTTGACAATAACTGTTTTGCTGCTACATGCATATTCTTTATTCAGTTATTTTCTAATCAGTAACTCATTAATTGTTAGTTTTCTTTTTTAACTAGAGCATTTCACTGGACATTTATTAAGTAAATCTAAGAATTGGCAAAGCTATGATTCACTGAATTAATCAAGTTTTGAGGGTATCTTCAATTTTTTAAAATTGCAGTTGAGTAGATATATTGGTGCTGCTCCTGTGTGTTTGTGTATAAGTGTATGTGTGTGTGTGTGTGTGTGTGTGTGTGTGTGTGGTTATGTTAAAGAAGGTCAAATTATTTGATGGAAAGAAATGGTGTGCTTATTTAATGACTACAGATTTTTAAAAACTTTTTCCAAATTTAGGTTCTTAACTATGGGTTTCCCACTAAAAGAGATCACAATAAATGCAAAAATATATACATATATAGCTGTAAGGTAGCCTTGGCTAGTTAATTTATGTAGAAGGTGTATGTTTCATTGTTTTTTTTTTTTTACAATAAATCTTCCTTGCCAAAAGAAAAAGAAATAATAAACCTTAGCTCATTGTCTACCTTTGACAAACTCAGGTGCCTACAGTCATATTGTACTGAGATAAGACATTCTACTTAATTTACAAATATTGCTGGATAATTTTATGACTTTATTTTAGGCAATAGAATTTCATAGAAAAAATTTAGTTTTTGCATTACTGAGAAAACAAGGACAAGAGCTAATTGAGCTGTAAGATCTAACTTGGACTCCTCAGTTCTCAAGTGCTGCCCACATAATTGTGCCCAACCCTGACTCCTTGTCCTTGCCAGGTAGCCTTAACTTACATAAAACCACAGAGGTTTTACTTTTTCATGTAACAGTATCTTTATCTTCTCTTCAAAACAAAACTGGTCCTTACTGTTAACGAAAAGATGATTAGCATTGTGGGACACCAACAGTGGAGATTTCAGAGCTACCCAGCTTATGGAGTGGAAGGGGAGGCACATTTATGGAGTGGTCCATCAAAGGTCGGCTGTCAGTCACAAAGCACATTGCAGGAACTTTTTTGGTTTGTTATGTTCTTGTTGAATAGTAGTCATGGTTACCACAGCAACCCAAAGATTTTGTGTTCTTTCTCTGAATAATGTTTTCAAGTGTCATTTCCTATGCAACTTGAAGTTATAGTTGAAATAGTCACCAGAATAAGAATTCAGGTTGAAGTACAGCAACACACAAAACAGATCCTGATGGAAGTCCTAATCAATCAGAAGCCTCACATAGTTGTCCCTGTCTGTATTGCTTTGTTGTTCCTATACATTCTCCTCATTTATTAGTGTTAACGCTGCCTGTTGCAAATATTAGCGAGACAGTACGAATTTTACAAGAGTTCAATTAAAGACAACTTCCTTGGTTCTCCCTCCCACCTTTTCATAAGAATGATTTGAAATCCAAGGAGTGTCAGAGTCACTAAGTTGGGAATAAGCACGTGAGGGAATAAGCACCTCAGAACAAGGTGTGTCTTTGGTTTGGAAGCTGACAGTGGACCTCTCCTCTGGGCACCACTGTTGACACAGCTGCCTTGTGTTTGTGTGTGAAGTTGTTTCTTCCAATATGCAATTTATCACTAAGTCTGTTATAAACTATTTGTATTGTTTATTTGAATGGAGTAGGAAATGTTTGTTTTGAAATATTAATTCTATAAAATATTAATTATAACAGAATTTTGCCAAGAAGATATAGAACCATTTTCAGCACAAAAGTGGGTCGTAGTCACTAAGCAGTAAGAGACCACCGTGTGCTTATGTGGTGACATCATTCAGTATAGGATAAACTGAGCCATATTTATTTATTTACAGACCCTTCAGTGAATAAATTTAGAGTGCCGATAAAAGTGAGTACTTGTAAAAATAGTGTCAGGGTGTAAAAATTGAAAAACTGGTGAGACAAAAAGCATGACTCTCAGTAAGAGTGTGAAGGTGCATTTGATATTAAAATATAAACTACGGAAGTACTGCAAATGCTAATGTTTGTAAACATTTCAAACAAAAGTGAGAAGTAAGGTTCAAGATTAGTTAGCAAAGTAACCAACTATTGTGAAATTTTCATTACATGCGCGCGCGCGCACACACACACACACACACACACGCACACACACACACAGCATGTGTGGGAAAGTCAGAGAAAACCCTGCAGGAGCTGCTTCTCTCCCACAACCATGCGGATCCCAGGGACTGACCGGAGATTATCAGGCCTGGTGGCAGGCCTCTGTACCTGATGAGCTATCTTACTGATCCTTTTTTTTTTTAATCAAAGCACAATTACAAAGCTGAATAGATGAATTAGTATGCAGAAATGCCTTCTCATTGAAGACTTTTCATTAAAACATAATAGTAAAATAAAAAGAAGCAATAAATTGCTTTTAGCCTAAGTGCTTAGGAACGTGAATAAAACTTTGGATGTATAAACATTTTCCATATCGAAATCTGAACTTTAAAAAAATGGAGGAGAAAACATGAATTTTGAAAACTTCAAAAAATATAAATTTATTAAGGAATGAAGAGAAGAGTCATTTGGAAATTATACTTTATATTTGCCTAAGGGAGAAGAGATACAATAATGAAGTTCAAAAAAAGGACTTAACAAATGACGGAGAGCAGCTACAGATTCCGTAAGACTAAAGGAGAAGGGTTAGTATTACTTATAGAAAAGAGACATTTAAAAGTGGAAAATTAATCCTTGGATAGCTACAAGGCTTTGTTTTTAAAAATGTAATCTTAGGGTAGTCTTCTAAGTATAGACAATTTACAATTTATTCTAAGAGCCCACAATTTTATGATCTTTTGTTTTAAATTTAAAATATATTAAAATTTTCTTGATTGGTCATGGAATATTTTTACTTTTGAACTAGGATAACAATCTTGATTTTTATAAGGTATTTATTATTTTTAAAGGATTTCTTTAAAGTTCTCTGAAATGTAGCAACTTCACTTAAAAAAGCTTCAGGGTCAGAGTCTAAAAAACAAATATCCTCAAGAAAAGTCCATAAATAGAAACTATGCAATATTTTAGAGGAGACAAGTGCTTTTTAAATTTTATTTACTTACAAAGATATGTTTGATGTGTTTCCTTAAATAGAATCTTGTTCATTCAATCCAAGGATGTCACAAATGTCTCTAACATTTGCTTTATCCACCTTGTAGAACAAGTTCTTGTACAGATAAGTCCTTCTCTATTAAATAAGCATGAACAGTTGGTCTATTAAACTATCTAAGTATGTGGATGTTCCCTGATATACTATATTGAATAAAATCTTCTCCAACAACCAAGCACAGATTACAAATAATGATATGAATAAATCAAGTGTATTTCCAACTCTGATTAATGTCAATTTTATTGTTTAAATCAGCCGAAAGATTCAGTCTTTCTTACAAAGACATCAGTGGGCAGGAGTAAGGCGAAGCTCAGCAGTGGGTGCTTGCTGGACCTCTGTGAGATGCTAGCATCCACAGCACTGCAAAACAAGCAAACCAACCAAAACTGATGTGTTTCTCTGAATAGAATCTTGTTCATTCAATCCAAGGATGTCACAAATGAATTGATACTGTACATATAAATTAATTTGTAAAGTCAACAATGTTTATAACTTGTTTCTTAATAAAGTGATTTAAAATAATCTTTGCATTAAGGATGCAAAAATTACAAGTTTTCAAATAAACTAGAAAGCTGCCAGGCTGCAGTCATGCTGAAGGCAGCTTGGCCAATGCTGAAAACTAAGTACTTACTTCAAAATCAGTGTCCTAACTCCCGAGTGACCATTTCTATTTTCCGTAATAATAACCCAAGATGGGTTGTCTGAAATTAAATTCATCTTTATTTAAATGACATTTTAACTACCATAGTTCCTGATATATTGTAGCCTGATTTTTTTTAATTTTAATACCTGAAACATTTCAAGTAAAACACCTTTTTTATCCGATTACTCAAGATATAAATTAGTGAGATAATTGGTACTGAAATATGTTCTTTTATTTGGGATATTTCAGGAATGACAATTTGTTTATGAGAAGGAGCAAACAATTAACCTTCAAAGTGTAAAGCAAGAGTATAAGATGTTTGCATGAAATATTTCACATCATGTAAGCTTTTCCATATCCTTACATGGATGTTACATACAAGTCTTACTTGTCTTGTGTTCTCCATTACGAATGCAAGGAGGCTGTTACATGTACTGGGTCTTTTCCATACTGAAATGCATGGCTTTGTCCCTCTAGTGTATTTTCACACCTCTCAGCAGGAGTTATTTAATAATCTGCCACATCTGAACTGAAGCGTAAATGACCTGCTGAGCCGAATAATTTCTGAGATTGTAGTTTAATTGCTCTACAATATTTGGTGAGAATTTATTATTTTAACTTCCATTTACAATCAGTCTCTGTCATCATAACTATCTAATGAGACCATTAAGAACTAAATTTAATGCCTCTTATTGTGAATGTATGTTTTTCTTTCAAAAAAGTTACTTTAATTTTTTTATTTTGTTTTGTTTGTTTGTTTATTTGTTTGAGACAGGATTTCTCTGCATAGTCCTGGCTGTCCTGGAACTCACTCTGTTGACTAGACTGGCCTTGAACTCACAGAGATCACCTGCCTCTCCAAAGAAATAATTTTAAATATCAGAAAACTCTGAAGATAAGAGAAATGACACCACTGTGCTGACAAATCTTTATCTTGTAATGAAGAAACAGAAGGAATCATTAGGTTCATAGCTATGACTATGTGGCAATCAGAG